AAGGCTGTTCTGTAGAACATTTTTTACACATGAAATACTGAAATTAATGGTAAATATTAGCAATTCTTCATGCATCAAATAATGTAACTAGAAAGTATAAACATTTAAACTTGGTCAATTCCTTGTAAAGAATGTGTACAATTTATAAGTGCACAACCCCATCTGTTAAAATAGCTATGGTTATAAATGCTTTGTTGTTGTTGTTGTTGTTAGTCGCAAAGTCATGTCCAACCCATCGCAACCCCATGGACAACATTCCTCCAGGCCTTCCTGTCCTCCACCATCCCCCGGAGTCCACTCAAGCTCACACAGTCTGCTTCAGTGACTCCATCTAGCCACCTCATTCTCTGTGGTCCCCTTCTTCTTTTCCCATCAATTGTTCCCAGCATTAGGTTCTTCTCCAGGGAGTCCTTCTTTCTCATTAGGTGGCCAAAGTATTTGAGTTTCATCTTCAGTATCTGGCCTTCTAAAGAGCAGTCAGGGTTGATCTCCTCTAGGACTGACCAGTATGATCACCTTGAAGTTCAAGGGACTTGCAGGAGTCTCCTCCAGCACCACAATTCAAAGGCCTCAATTCTTCGGCGCTCAGCTTTCCTTATGGATAAATGCTTTGGTGAGCTCTTATTTGAATTAGTACAATGCACTGTATATGAGGCTGCCTCTGAAAATGGTCCAAAAACTTCAAGTGATCCAAAACAGGGAAATAAGACTGTTAATAGGGACTGACACATGAGAACATATTATGCCAGTCCTTTTCCAGCTATACTAGCTGTCGGTTGAAATCCAGGCCAAATTTAAAGTGCTAGCACTAACATTCAGAGTCCTAACAGCCTGAGGCCAGGTTATCTGAAAGACTGCTCCATCTCATTTGTGCATACTCAAACCAAGGGGTCATATTTGGGTTTCATTATCTGGGAGCCCCTTCCAAAGGGAGTGAGGCAGGGTGCTACAAGAAGGGGGGCTTTTTGGTTCTGGTGCCCTGGTTATGGAATGAGCTCCCCAAAGAAACAAGTCTGGCACCTACTTTGTATTCTTTTTGACACCTGCTGAAGATCTTTTTATTTTCCCATCATTTTGACAGTTTAACTTTTTGACTTCATTTTTAACTTCTGTACCACTGCTATGCTTCAATGCTGATTCATTTGCAATTGCTATTGTGGTTTTCTCGTTTTAAATGTGTGTTTGTGTGTGTGTGTGCGCGCACACGTTCACAAGCACGCACTAACTTTTGTTAACCTCCTAGAGGGGCTCAGGTATTGAGCAGTATAAAAATGCAATATATAGGAAGGAAGGAAGGAAGGAAGGAAGGAAGGAAGGAAGGAAGGAAGGAAGGAAGGAAGGACGGAAGGAAGGAAGGAAGGAAGGACGGAAGACACCATATACAATTGTGGGAAACGCAATCTAGTTATAAAATGAAGTGTTACATGTCTGTAAAGTACACAGCATAAGACTAGAACCACAATACGGTTTAAACCGAAAGGCTTCAAGCTACTTGGAAGAAAAGAGAACCCATAGCAGCTTTTCTCAATCTGGTTCCATACCGAAATTTTATTATTACTACATTAAATTTATATCCTGTGAAGAATCCACATGGTTTACATAGATCTCTGCTAAAGACTTCTCTACCCAGTGAGTTTCATGGCTTGATGGGGACTAAAAGCTGGATCTCCCAGGTCCCCAGTCCAACACTCTAACCACCATACCACACTGTCTCAGTAACTAGTATTCTTGACTACTGACCATGATGAGAGGGACTGATAAGACCTGATGGACAAACACCTGGTTGGGAAAAGTAAGTTTCATGGTATTATGCAGATACCATAACTTGTTCCAAAAAGATGAACATTATTGTTATGCCTTGCTTTAGATATGGGTATACCCAGCCTACATAGGAAAAGCTGCATCTATGCAGAATATAACTCAGATTTATGTCTGTCTGCCATTTTGACAACATCTCAATTTTTCCTTTATATTTTTCAAAAAATGTGATAAGCCAAGGTGTTGTCTTGGCTAATCACATGTTGAGCTACTAACTGTCCCTGAGAAAGTAATTCTGAGGTTTAAGTTGGACATATGGGAAGCTAAATGGAGTGTTAATTCTTTTTCAAAAGTGTTAAATCTCTTTCTGCCTGAGAGCCGAATTCTAGTTTAGATATGCTCTCAGGACTTCTTTCTCATTATGAGCAAGGCTGAAAGCCAAAGAGGTAGGAAAAAAAATGCCAGCTTATTCAGGTTGAAGATCTCACTGCCGGTAATGCAAGAGAGGCATTTCAACCTTTTCAAATGGAGCAAATGCACAGAAGTTGGGAAACCATCAAAGAATTGGGAGTTGGGAAAAGGGGTATGATGCCATCTTATGAATTCCAGAGGACTTGAATGAAATCCCAATGGGGACAAGCAGCCCAGTCCTGAGTTCAAAAACCCTGTTATACCTTCACAGAGCTCTGAGAGTGCAAAAACTTTATGTATCATAATATATTCTTCACCCTTGGAGCTTCTCTACACAAGGCATTTACTGTGGCCTCATAGTTCCAGTTATTTACAGGATCTTTAGGCAACATTATGATCCACCAGCTTTGCATCTGCTCTTTTTTCCCCAGAGCATCTTTCCATGTTTAGAATGGGGAAAATGGGTTGCTATTTTAGAACGGGGAAAATGTTTTTATTTCCCTTGCATGCTTGCATTATTCTGCTATAACACAGTTCCACATAGAGGTTAGGCAGCAGAAAAGCAGGAAAGGAAAAGTTCATTGTGCCAAGCTCAGATTTCAATTCTGAAACAAACCAAAAGTCAATTCGGCAATTAACAGCCTTGCATTGAAAAGCTCTTGATATGCCAAGCTGCAGTGCAAAAGCAGCATCACAAGGGAGAAAATGCATGAGGAAGATTTCTTAAAGACTAATTTCTGTGTGTGAGGGTGTGCATATGTGCAAATCCAAGGGATGTGTGTGCATGTCTGTGCATGTAAAAAAAGCCTCTTCAATAGGGTGGGTATTTGGCCATCATTTCAGCAAGCCACTTGCCTCAATGCAGCTGAATGGCAAAACACAGGAGACAATAGAAAAATGATTCACAGCACAAGGTACTGGACTAAAATAACTAGCAAGGTCGGAAGAATCAAGGTAAGTTAGCAAGGATGTAGCAGAAAGTGATTTTACAGAATGACAAGTCTAGCATTCTGCAGCTGATTCATTCTGCCTCAATCTAAGGGCAGTCCTAGGCATCCGGATGCTTCTCTGAATAAGGCATGCTTTCTCTGGCTTCCGACAGAAGTTACCTTGTGCACAATGAGCTCATGAGTGCCATCTGGCAGCGTCCTTCCATTTTCCTGCATCAGAGGGACGAAAGAAAAACCAAACAACTTCTTCTCCCCTTTTTCTTTTGCTGAAACACACACATACATTAAAAATCCACCACATTCCGGGCAGGAAATGAGAATGCATAGATTCAATGAATGCAAAGTTACACACATCCACTTGACCTCCATTCATAGCTAACAACCGAAGTGCAATCACTGAAGGAGGTCACCACAGAACAACTCCCTCACCCGGGGAAATCCCTAACTGCAGTCATAACATGCAGAATTACTCAGAGCACACAATCTGGCAGACAACAGTGACTTTAGAAAGCAGTGGAAATGGATATAAAGAGGACTATATTCGGTCCCACTGATTGTACTTAGATTTAAGACTACAAGACCTTATCGGGAACATTGGGCAGAAGTGTGAGGACTCACAATGTGATGGCAGAAGCCTCACTGAAAATAGTTCTATATATCACAGCCAGGATAGGAATCATTCACAAAAGGGTGCTTCCTGGTAGCAGCAATTGTATCCTCTCTGGGGCTATTTTAACAGCAGTTTTACCAGCCATAACACCCATGTCCATATTTCTGTGCTAAATACAATCCTTAAACTATCCAAATTATGGCATTATACTGACTATGTAAAGCAAAACAGAATACTTACACTTGTTTTTCAAGACATTTATACTGGAACAAAATCAAAATTATCTCAACATAACCTACCAAAACACTAAGGGTGTAAGAGCAATATACTAATAGCTCTATTTGTGAACTTAAGAAAATACAATAGATGGATGGAATCTATATGCTAGCAAAACTGCCCTAAGTCAGATTTTGAGTTCTCTAAGGCAGACATGTGATTCTAGCTGTTTAATAGAGGGATCTCTATTCAGCCACTTCACAGGGCAGTAACAGATGCAAGATATTAAAAAGGAGAAGCAAATTGTACCCACAGCCTACTTTTCTCCCATGGACCAGCATGGGAAAGGAAAGGAAGACAAGGACCTCTAAAGTCTGCTGTTACAGTAAATTGTATCTTTTGAGAACACTTTATTCTTTGAAGAAGAAAAAACAAGAGGTTCTCATATAATGCCACTTACTTTTCACTCTATTTGGTCCAACCGCATGGAATAAATATGTAGAATTCAAGCCCATGGCCCAAAAAACTTGAATTCTCTAGAACATTCCAATCCCCCCCCCCCCCCCCCCATGCTCAGTTTGTGTAGGTAAAAAGGATGTTAGTCTCTACTTTGCTTGACAGGGTTTTCACTGGCATCTAGGCCCTCAAGAAGCTCAAAATATTTCAGTAAGAAAAACACTAGCAGAACTGAAAATGGAGGAAAAATATTTACGGCTGCAAAGTTGTGATTTGGTATTTAGGATTACAGGGAATCCCAGTCATCTCTTGTTGCAGGATACTGATTATGGCTGTTGATATCAGTGCTTGCATTATGGTCTCTGAATAAAAACCTTCCCTACCAACCCCATAGTCTGCAAATACCAGGAGCTCAGCTATATGCCAGTGATGTTAAAATCTCTGAGATAGCTCTATTGAACTTCTAATGAAATTCTAAAGCATGGCCATTCATGAACAGGTCTTACTGGAACAGTGTCGGAATTCAAAGCGAAGGTGTGCTCCCCTGAATTTATCCACAGGAATGGGAAGTTTCAGCAGCTCAGCCCACCTGGGACTGTTGTTGTGATACAGCACAAAGGAGTGGAATTCAGTGGATGGTAGCTCTCCGGAGCCAAAGGAAATAAAATCCTAACAAAGAAAGCACACCAATTAAAGGCATTATTCCACAGTCAAAATGGCAATAATGAAAAGAAGGATTCATAGAAACACATGCTTGCACACACAGTAAATATGCAGCTTTTTAAAAAGTAAAGTATGTTTTGCATTGCCTCTGATGCTGATTGGTTGGGGAAATCTCTGGGTTAGAGTCGCCAATGGATAAAATTCAGCCCCTGATAATGGAAAGAAAGCAATTTTCTTTTTACCCCTCTTGTCTCATCAGCGCCCTTCTCCCTACAGTTCTGTAAAGATCAGGATACACTTTGGAACAGCATAGAACAGTGATGATGAACCTAAGACACATGTGCCACAGCGGGCATGCAGAGCCCTCTCTGTTGGCACGTGAGCCAAGTTGCCCCAGCATCACCCCAGCAGCCATGCACATATTCAGAAAGAGTAATGGTGCCAGGCAACAACGTCACTCATTAGCCACGAATTGTCGTGATTGGCAGCATCGAACAGGTGGTCAGAGGCAGGCGCAACAGCCACGGCGGGTGCCCCAGGTAGGGAGTAGATGAGCTGCGAGCAGGCCTACCAAGCGCTGGCGACAGCACCCTCCTCCTCCTCCTCCCAGTCTGCAGCATGTGAGTGGCTGGCCAAGCCACCCTTCTAGCACAGTGGTGAGACCCTGCTGACTCAGTAGCCACAGGCACAGCCAGGCAGTCGCGTGTCCATCTGCCCGCACACCCGCTCCCGGGTCAGGCTCCAGCACCAGTGGCCGCAGGGGTGAGGGAAGCTGGGCGAAGGGAGCGAGCGTCAGGGTCAAGGCAGAGGAGCAGCAGCTGAAGCGAGGAGGAGGAGAGAGAAAGCACCTGGGATGATATCGCGCTTCCTGGGGAGGGAGGCCAAAACAAGGAAAAGCGGAGGCTGGAACTACTGTGAAGCGAGAGGAGCGGGCGTGTGGCGGGGACCCCCCTCGCCACCCGACTCCACTCGCCAAGGCTTGGCAGCACTGTGGGGGCACCTCGAGGAAGATCCCAACAGAAGTGTGGAAGGAATCAGTGATAGTCTCTCTTCACCTTTAGTTTAGGTCTCCCCACATTCCTCCCCTCCGGTAAACTTCCAAGCACCGCTGAAGCTCCTGCGGCATTCCCAGTGGCTGGTCTGGGGGTGAGGAGAGAGGGAGGGATGGAGGGAGTGCCCGCGCCCAGGCGCAAGCAAGCCCAGTGTCCCCAGACTTGAGGGTGCTAAACATGAATATGGCTCCTTCTCTCTGTTATTGTGTTTTTCTTTTAAGACAAAAAATGTTAATGTATGAGTAGTTTTTTTTTCCTAAACTAAAACCTCAGTATTCAGATTTTATTGCAGTGCCTGCACTTTGTGATAAATAAGTGGGTTCTGGGTTCCAGTTTGGGCACTCGGTCTCTAAAGGTTCACCATCACTGGCATATAAGATGGTGCAAAAGTCTGAAAACAGGGATTTGCAAATACCACTTTCCCACTTTCATTTCTTGGTGTCTCTACTGGGAGGGCCTCCACTGCGGGGATAATCAACTAGATCCAACCCTTGTCTTTTGTAGACCTTTGTCAGACTAAACTCCTGTCTCCAGTGGTGGGGCAAGATTACAGCCTACTGAGGCTGCCTGTGACACAAGGATGAGCAAGGACAGCCCAGTAAGTGGCTCAATTCAGGAAGAAGCATGAATAGAATATCTGATTACAGCCAGTGGTATCACCTGATGCACCAACCTATTCTTGCACAGAAGTTTCTTTCCCAGGGCAGCTTTCTTTAGTGGCAAAGAAAGGGAAAGGGAAAGGCTTAGGTCCCAAGTTCAAGTACTTCTGCAGGCCTGATTACTTTTTGCTTCTATGACATTTGTTCTCTTAGGAATCCTATTTGAATTTATGTTTCCACTTTCATCATACATTTCCCAAAAGCTCAAGAGGAGAGAGAACAGGCAGCCCAACAGCTAGTCCTGATAAGAGATGCAATTATTTTGCATTTCAGAGACTTAGATTGAGACTTATGCATGTGCTGGGACTGATTTCTGTCTAAACACGCACAGTAGCATGCCCTTAGCCTTCTGCAGCCACATGAAAAAAGTCCCTAAGACTGAGGCTGGTTAAATGGTGCATCTGTGAGCTGGTTAATAGCTTGTATACCAGATCAGCCACACAAACTTCTGCCATATTTCCCCCAGGCTCAGAGCTTAAGTGGAGCCCTTTAGTCAGTCACTTAATATGCTGTGGAAATGGCAGGAATGTATTCCACTTTCTTCAAGAAATCTTGTAGGGTTATAACTGAGACTGTTAAAACAACTGTCTTTAAAATATCAGGATATTCTGAAAACTTCCTCCCACCCCACAGCTGATTTTATGCTACAAGTTGAGAATACTGGGGAGATTCAAAATGGTGGTGTTGTTTTTTTAAGTCTAGGGTGGTCACATATACCCAAGAGGATACATGTTGTTCATTCCTGGCTTATATTGCCACAGAGAGCATTGCATCAAATAAAATTGTTTAAATCCAAGTATGTTTATTTCCAATTGGGTTGGATCTGTCAACAGTTGAGCTTAAACTATATCCCATTATGAATCTGAGCCAGGCTGGTAAAAGCTGGTATCTTACCAGCCTTCACATAGCTGACCAGATATGACTTTGTTGCAGGCTCAACAAGTTCCTCACTGTTTCTGCTTGCATAAAACTGTAAAAATGGGAGAATAATGCACCTGCAGTCCATAATATGTAATTCATAGGTTGTGTTTAGCTTGGCTGCATGACCTGTGCATGCCTATTTAGTAGTAGCAATTTAGCATGGCTGATGTTGCTGTTATTTTTACCCTGTGAATTCCTAGTGTACAGATCTATCTGTGGTCAAAAGGCCTACTTATGTGGAATAAAACAGATTATAGACAAATCTAAGGGGAAAGGATGGATGGAAGTTACCTTTAAAATTTGGCCACCAGAGTCCACAATGTACATTGTCACTTCCACATTCCTGGCCACACTTTTTCCTCCTTTTTCAAATTCTCCCCTTTCTATTGTGATATACAAATCATTTCTCATTTCACCTAGACAAAAGGGAAAAAACAAGTTGAAGGTTAATTCAAGCAGAAGTCTGAATACCTATTCATTTAAAAGTAAAATAAAAACAATATTCCCAATTGGTTAATAAGTTTGCCAGGTTGTTGTCCTTATTCAGCTTAGTCAATGATCGCTGTATTTAGTGATGGCTTAAGCCAAGCTATTTGGAAACTCTTAAAGAAAGGTCATAGTATTTTTTTTCCACTATAGGACGGGATCAGCATTGGATGAATACAGCATGCTTTTATCGCGTCATTTCCCCATTGGACAGGATAAGGTTCTTCCTAACTCCCTCTGGTGCTAGGTCACAGCCTTATGCTGGCAGAACAAAATAATAAGATTAGTGATTTTTTGCAGTAGCATAATTGCAAGGAGGTAAGGGAACAAAACTAGGTGGCATTAGGAGCATACTGACAACCTGCTTGTACACTGTCCACTTTAGGTGGTATGGTTAGGAGGATGACATCATTAAATGATCAAGGAGCTGGAGCAACTTTCATATGAGCAAAGCTTACAACAATGGGAGCACCTTTGCTTAGGAAAAAAAGGGAAAGTGAGAGCGTGATAAAGATGTTCAGAATGATAGATAATGCAGAAAGTGGTGAGGGAGGTGTTTTGCTACCATTCATATAACTTTAGAAGGTGGGAACATTCCATAAAGCTGGATGATAGAAAACTTATGACAACTGTTTGCTTATTCAAACAGCACATTATAAAATGATATAATTCATTACTGCATGATGCAGGGATAGCTTTAACTGGGATAACTTTAACAGCTATAGCTGGGGTAGATTAGGTACAGAAGATATGGGTACCAATGGCTACTCATCATGGGGGCTGTCTATTACTTCCAGTATCAGATGCTGCACAGGAGTGGGAGGATGCTTTTGCACTCATGTCCACAAGCACATGTGGACTGTCCACAGGTGGCTGGTTGGCCACGTGTGATCAGACTACTGGACTAGATAGGTCTGATTCTGCATGTCTCTAGAATGGTCTTGCACTGGTAATGCAGGGTTGTTGGTGCAGTTCGTTACCAGTGATGGGTAAGCTGACACAAGTTCTAGTGATGTGAGTACAGCTGTTGGTTTAGCTAAGCTAGCTTTTGCATCAATGGTAATTTGTGCTGACAGTCTAGTGTGCATTTGATTGTGACTTTGTTATATCCGCATTAGCCGGGACATAGCAGGCACCTGACATACCCTATATCAAGAAATAAGGAATGGGGCTGCTTAGGACTACAAGTCATACAGACAGCGGCTGAAAGCCACATGTGCCCCAGGGACAACCATGGCTTGCTCACTTTTGGGTGCACCTGTGGGACAAGCAGTCTGCACACTTCTTTTCCACATGGACATTCTCCTTGATAGGGAATTAGTTATGCTTGAAGTGGGGAGATGGGAGCCTTTGATAATTAGGCACCTTTTGTCACCTACCCAGTTATTTCTTTTAATTTTAATTACATTAGCAGCTGTCTTGTTAAAAAATGATCAACAAGCCCTGAAAAATGAATTCTTCAGATACAATATATAATTAGCTAAATAACCTGGTAATTTTAAAGACAGCTTCCTCAGAAGAGACATCTAAAGAAAAGTGTTTTTTAAAGAAAAATGCTTTAAAACTACACATTTTACTTTCCAGGCACATCAAGCCTGGTTAAAATTATTACACAAAATAAGAATCTTCCCATTCATCTTGCACTGTACCTTGTCATTTCATTTTCTCTCTTCACGTAACATGGAAACACTAGCGGTTCTGAAATTCATTTGCAGAAACTTGCCCGTGAAACATTAATAAGATCACATCTCTCTTTGCTTCTCTTGATAGAAGCATGACAACCCAGTCCCTTTACCAGTATTAACATACAAAATACACTGCATTTTGAAAACTCTGAGAAAACTATTGAAAGTCACTAGCATTGTGCTTTAGCATCCTGTTAGATTGTACCCTCAGTCTGTTTGCTGAAACAAACTAGAAGAATGGTCTATTTTAGAGGGTCAGTCACTGGCAGATAATCAATAGTTTCTTGTTTGAAAGGGTTATTTATATCATTATTTTACCTTCTTCAGCTTCCAGAGGTTTTAGATGACATTGGTCATGCTGCCTGGTGGGAGCTGAAACCCCAACATTCTAGAGGGCTACAAGTTGGTGAAGAGTGCATTTTGTGTGCATGCCAAGAATTTCTGGAACTTTGTGCAATTTATACAGGTTTGTAAGGAGGCACGTCTTGCCTATATTCTGGTATTTTTGGTTTTGGTTAGAGCTAGACATGGCTCAACAGATTGGTATGGACAGATGGGCTAGTAAAATGGTTTTGGGCTGGTAACAGCCAAGTTGGTAATCTACCATGAAGAAATCTATGGAAATAGAGTTCATTCAGGTATGTCAATCTGGAGTGAGTTGAGCACTACAGAAGACAACTGTAAACACTGAAAAAATGTTACCTGAGAGACATCTCAGGTGTTTATCTCAGGAAGTCATCAATGTTAGTAAAACAACCTAGCTCAGTCCTTTTCAGTAACACAGTAATATCCATTTTAATCTCAAATCAGGCTTGAACCACTTGTGGCTTTCCAGATATTTTGCACGACTGCCTTCAGTTTTGCTATGATAGCCAGGGCTGATGGGACTTATAGGCAAAAACATCTGGAGAGTACAAGTTTCTCACCTGTCTTATGTGGTCTTGGTTATATAAATATAACATTATGCCTTGTTATATGTAAGCCCTAACAGCCTCTATTACTAAGGAACCAGGGTAAGCAGAGCTCTCTTCTGTTTCCTGATACCTTCTTCCATTGTAAAATAAATGTATGCCTCCCTTCCTGCTATATTAAGCCTGAATGCACCCAGTTCTGCATTTAATACTGGCTGGATGTGTGGTATCTTATAGTTTCCAGTTGGTTTCTAACTGTCCTTTGTTATGTTAATTAATACATGGCCGCCTTCAATACAAGAATATTGCAATACTTCCTTTTTGCAACACTTTAGTACCCTGTAGCTAGTTTCTCAAAATAAGCCTGTCTTAAGAAACATACTTCAGATTAATATTAGCAGTCCTCAGGCTTAATTAAAGTTTTGCTGGATGAATTTCTTTTGCTAGTATGTCTTTTGCTAAGGACAGGCTTTTGTTTCTAATCTTGACAACAACAAGTTCTTGTTATGGATTTCCCATAACTAAGCATGCTGTGAACTTTCAGCCTTTTATGCTATCAAGGACCACTCTTTCTCTTTTTACTCCTCTGTCGGAAATCTATGTCTTGTGCAGAGCAATTAATAAAAATAATACATCTGGCCTGTTGAGATAAATGAACATGTGTGGTAGCAAATTCTCAGCAGATTACTTTACTCCTTATTAATGATTTTATCCTACTGTAACAGTTCTTTGGGGAAGTAATTGAAGTAATTAATCCCAGTGTTATCAAAGAGGCCTACTTCGTTATTGTACAGCAGGTGCCATGACTACAAATTCAAACAGTTAGTGTGGATTCAAGATCCAGTAATGAAAATATAACTGGTCCTTAGTTCTACCAGTGAGCTCTGGATCACCATCTCAGGGTAAGACAACTCTTTATAAGAATCTCCATGGAAGTCCAGGGATGATTGCTATTCCCTGTGCGGGTCACCAGCAGTTAAAGTGAAGTGAATCACCCCCATGTATCCAGGTTGTGGATACTGGAAGCACTGCAACAGCATCAAAGCTAGAGATGGCTTAATTACTTGCCTGTGTTCCCCGGAACACAACCCTAAGGAGTATTCAAGAGAAACCTGTAGTCCAAATCTCAGCTGAGGTAAACTCATTGGCTTGTTTGTGGTTGTGGCAGTTGTATAAAGGATGCCACTGTGCACCATTGGTAAGATTCTCAGAATAGCCTTTGCAGCTTTCCTAATGTATGCTGAGAACAAAACCAGATCAGTATATCTTAGAAATTGCACCCATATATACAGCTGCAAGGAACTAAAGGTAAAGCTGGTTTGTGTTTGGAGCAAAGCTAGTGGTAGAGCTATTCCTGATCTCTACCCCATTACAAACCCTAAACCCAAGTAATGTTTTCTCTCAGAGCAGCAAGACAGAATCAAGTATAGTTGCAGACCAAGCACTTTCCTCTGTTGGTTATTTCAAGCTTACCCCATTCTTGCCACAATGGATCAAATTAGCCAAGGTTACAAGAAGAGAGAGGAATAACTGGGATAATAGCAATATATGCATAGTGAACTTATTGAGCTATGTGTGACCAGATGTATACTTTTTCCTTTAGGAAAGCTGTAACATTTTGGCAAACAGGAAGAATTTAAAAATTAAGGAAAAATTAAAACAGAATCTGAAATATAGGGCACATTCCCCATAGACCATAACAGTCCCAAGGATGCTTATCTTTTAGGCCTGACTTTCTTAGCAATGTTGCTTTAAATTTATTTTTCAAAAGCTAACACAAGCAGAAAACATTTGTGACAAAGCCTTCTGCTAAGGGGAGGAAAACACTTCCAATTCAATTTTATAGACTTTGTAACCTGCAGAAAGTTACTGCCTGTAAAGACAAGCAGTATTTCCACTACTGCAGGAATAGATTGATTTGTGTCGAGCCAAGATAGGACTTGCTCAGGGCTTTTGTATACTTTGATGGCTTGCATAGGCCCTTGAAGGCTGCTGGCCAGCATTTATTGAAATTTGTTACAAGCCACCAGGCAGAGAATAGGCTGAGACCAGTCTTGTACCTGTCATATGAGTGTCAGCGGCAGTTTTCAATGCAGCGAGCAAAATGTTGCAGTTCCGATGCCCTGTGGAGAGAGGCTGCAAATGCATGCACTGTTCTTCTCTTAGGAGCTGTTCATGTTCTATGGATTTGCTCTGGGACTAAGTGGCTGCTTGCTGCCTTTTGCTCATTTTTTATACCTGTTTTGATGTTTATCCATTTTTACTTCTTCACTTGTAATCAGATGGATGTTACCAAAAATCCAGTACACCTTGTAAGTACTGTTTTGGATGGAG